ACCCCCACCCCCACCAGCCCCAGCCCCAGCAGGCTCCCCTAGTGACATCACTGGGTTGTCAGTCTATATATAGGCTGGCAGGGTGTCAGTAGGGCACTTTGCACTTTGGAGTAAGCAAGTGTGGTTTGTAAATCAAGACAGAGGTATACAAAGGATAGGGCTGTGTCTAGGTTGTGACGTTAGTGGTATTATTGATTACTTTTTCTAGCAGACTTGATCCTGAATAGCCAACATTTTAGGACTGGGGTGTGTGAGTACGGTCACAAGGCAAACACAAGATGTATAAGCATAACTAAAGAATGAGTTTCCACCACTGTGGTAATCCATATATGAAGTCTTACAATCCTACTTAATATTAATAAGGTATGTGAGATTTCATCAAATGTAATCACTTAAAGGAAGAATCACAAGTATACATATAAAAAATTACACATCTCAGTAAAATGGTCAAATAAGTTTTTTTTTTTAAACAATTTAGGTGTTATCTTTTTAATTTGGGCCATAATAACAAGGAAATATTGCTAAAACAAACTGAGTAGGATTAGAAACATGAGACAAGATCACACAGGCTGTAAGCAAGCCAACAGTAGCCAGATCATCTAAACCACTTTAGTTGGAGGTTAAAGCTAAAGTCAGAGCACCAGAAATGTTGGCAGTAATTAGGGTTGTATGACTTAAAACTGATTACTTCCCTTGAATTCTTTCCATAATGAAGACTGATATTGAAAACAGAATTTGATAACGTGTACCATGGTATCAGCTGTTTATATCCCCTTATACAGAAGAAAGGGGGTTGAATTATGAATTATAAAGTGTTATGAGCGAGATGGAACATGCATTCATTCATATGTGTTTTTATATATATATATATGTGTGTGTGTGTGTGTGTGTGTATGTGTGTGGCTGTATGTGCACATGTGTATGTAAATGAAGGTAGATCCTCTTTTACACCAACCAGGAAAAGCAATCTGCAGCGTCTCAGGCAGGTGAAGTACTCTGATGTTCTATTTAAAAGCCAGGGTCACTTTTCTCATCTCCACTGCAAATTAGAGATGTGACCTTACCGCTCTGTATCCCTCCAACACTTTCTCTCTCCCCTCCTGAGACTCATGTCATAATTGTGCACAGAGACACACGGCGCGAACAGGTGATGCACACAAACAAAAAGTACCCTTTGTGTTATGGCGCTGCACCTAAACAATATTACTTAACCTCCTGTAGTCAAATAAAGGTGAGTCCTGCTTTGAGATACAAGTGGTGATTGTATCGTAGCTCACCTTCATTAAACTAAGAATCATCTAATCAAAATGGTAGTAATGTCCATTCACTTCTCTTGGGTTTCATGTTGTGTTCCTGTATTCAGGCTGAAATCCTGTAAGGTAGTTTTTTATTTAAATCATAAATATAATTATAAATGGTTGGTTACGGTACTGTACATTCCTAAAGGTTCATTTCAGCCAAATGATAAGAAATTTGGCTTATCTCTAATAGTAAGTACTGTGAACAACACTAACACCTTTCTATTCAGCTCACTGTATTAGCATATACTGTATTTGCATCTAAAATCTAGGCAACTATCTAGATGGGTAAAAACCACTAGAGGTAAGCTGAAAACTATGCTGTGCGGTGACTGTTTAACTGGCAGTCTGAAGAGGGTTTTTGGAGTACTGTGCTTTTTAAACTTGAAGCATTTTATTGTTAGATTGTTAGACACAGTATCACTTAGACATTATCACTTAGTATCACTGTCATCGCCTCCCTTTTCATATTTTTAAAAACGTGAAGAAAAAAGTCTGGAAACCTGGAAAGTGTGATATACACTCTGGTGGGTATACATGGGTACGATTAGCTGTGATAACATTTGAGTTTGACTTTACCAAGTCTGGCTGCTGTACACCAAATATAACAACGCTCGGACTAATAACGCCACCTTTTTTGGTTTGCTAATTCAACCTGAAAACTAATTAGCTACAAAATCACCTGCAACTATTTGTTTAGGCCAAATGAGTTGATTCTTGTAAAGCTGCTAAACCTGCCCCGGGGAGCAAATTTATATAACCTGACAGCCTGTTCTATGAATCTGCACTTGTTATATACAGTGTATAATGTATCTGACTAATACTTCTGCCAGGTCCCTGTTGTTTCATATGCTAGCGTGTAGCAGCAACTGAAGGTTTCTGATACAGCTTACCTTTACTGGGCTGATACTGTATACCACCATTCTATGAATACAAATCATTGTTTCTATGATGATGCCTGACACGTGTAGTTTGATCAGCAACGCCTGTTCTTTGGCTTCCACCAGACAGGAGAGCGGAACTGTGAAAAATCCAGCGGACTGGTCTGTTATCAGGCCTTACCAGGTGAAGGCGGCTGGATCTTGACCTGCTTCCTGTTGTCCCCTCCAGCCATACTGCTACTGCTACTGCTGCTGTCTGCCGGCAGCTCCTCTCCCCTGTCCATCTTGCATTCATAGGCAAACAGGTACTGGATGTACTGCTTCTTGAGCGAGCTGGCAGAGCTGCTCGATGTACCAACGTTCAGTGTGGTGGACAGCTCCCTCCACTTCTTGTTCTTGTTCACCTGAGTGAACAACAGCGTTGTAGGTCATTTATGAGTTCTGCACTTAATTTTCACATTGTTGTATGTGGACACCAGCAGTCACATTTTATAAATATGGCCTTCTTTTGTATGGCTTGGACAGTGTCCCTCATCCAATTAGGGGAAATCCTAATACTGTACCATACAATAATACTTTAGTATTACAATGACCCTGAGCATAAAGAAGCAACTGTGGTGTGTAAGACCTGCACAGGGACCTGACCTCAGCACCTGTCAAACAGCTTTAGAATGAACTGGAGCAGTGCTTGTGAGCTGGGCCTTACTTACTGTGTCTGACCTCACAGATGCTTCTGTGGTTGACTGGGAACACATCCCTGCAGCTGCTAAATCTTATGGAAAGCCATTTTCAGTAAATTAATATTACTGTATATTACTGGAATAAAACATTGGTGGCATGCTGATGCCAGTCTTTAGAGAGTAGGAAGGTCAATGGCAGATATATATTGCTGATATGTTTAGTTTTTTTGCATCAGGTAAAATACAACAATTTAATAATAATAAATGTGACACATTTTTTGAACTGAAATTAACATATTTTTTAAACAAATGAAAAGTATTTAAATTGAAAATAAACAATGAGCATTGTCTTTGTTTGTTGCACATTGCACTCCCCTTATTATTTAAAAAAGAAATGTCCTCAAGTATTCAAAAAACTAAACTCTGTAAAAAAAATATATATATAGTGACAAGGCTGCCTGCAGATGTGTCTGCACACCTTTTTAGTTAATGGGCCTTGTGAGCGCTGACATCGACTGATGCCAATTATCTAAAAAATGCCAAATATCGGCCCAATTAATCAGCCAACTAATTAATTTGTCTCCCACTAGAACAAAATCTGTAAAGTTCAGGTGTTCACATACTTCAGGCTATGTAGGTTGTGTCGGTTTCTGATTTCTCTAGGCTTCCTGTAAACTTTATATTGTATAATAATAATAATGATGATAATAATAATACTTTTATTTGTATAGCGCTTTACAACTCGGTAGGAGCCCAAAGCACTTCACAGAACAGCAGATAAAATACATGACCAACAACATAGGAAATAAGAGCAAAACAAGAGAAACTAAAAACACACACACACAAAAAGATATGAAATAAAATAAAATATGAATCGAAAGGTAATGATTAGGCTTCCATATCCAATATAAATATAAAACAGCGAGCTAAAAGACATCAACATGATGCCACTGAAGCAAATTAACCACAAAAAGCCTGTCTAAAAAGATAAGCTTTTAGTTTAGACTTAAAAAAAAGATAACTCAGTTATGGAACGTAACTCCAGCGGTAGAGAGTTCCAGAGCCTGGGACCATAAACAGCAAACGCACGATCGCCCCATTTTTTGTATTTTGTTCACGGGTATGTTTAACAATTTTATTGCATGGGGTTTGACACACAAGTAGTGTTGGCAGAACATGTGCATTGTGACATTTTCAGGAATGTGTGAATTATTTTATGTATTTTAGTCTCTTGAGTGCATCTCTCAACATTTATAACCACACCATATGCTGTTTGAGTGCTACAGAATATTAAAAAGTTAATACCACTGAGCAGAGTGAAATGAGTTTACTATATATGATGTTATGTTCGACTCAGAATACCTATTTCTAACATTGTCTCAACATAACGACATTGAGCACATTCCCTGTGTGTTACCATGGCGAGGCCTCCTATCTCCCGAACAGCCATGTAGAGCTTCCACAGGTCCAGTGGCTTCTTGCCTACAGCTGGCAGCTGTGCAACAGGGGTGCCCCTTTCCTCCATGAAGGTCAGATATCGTTCCACCCAGCCACGCCTCTCAGGCTCCACACCCAGTTCATAAAGCCGCGTGATTCGCTCCCCACTGAGAGAGGAGGAGTTCGGGTTGGTTTTCTGGTGAGAAAGAAAAGAGAAAAACTGGCTTAAGTATAACGGGACTTTAACTTACAGTAAGAATTTGTCCACAACACATTATATACAGTAAATAAACATTTTTAAATTGTAATAATAATAAATGCCAGACTATACTGGGTAGACTACATGCACATAATGATGATAATGAGACATGAACACATAATTTATATACTTGCATATATATATGTGTGTGTGTGTGTGTGTTTGTAAGATCTGTTCTACAGTATTTTTTATCTTTGGTGTATTCTAATGCTGCTTTCTACTCCTCCCGCAGGAATCATTAAAATTTCACTGCTTATTTACACATTCTGAAGTAGGCCCTAGGTTGAATGACCAAGAAAAACTAAATACCTCTTTAGAGCATTTTGTTCAGTATGCTGCCTGTGTTTACTTCAAAGTACATTCATTGAACATTCATATCTCTCAAGTCCAAACTGGTATATGAGGTTTAATCCCACAAAGCACATTCTGACTTCAGTCAAGGCTTAGAAAGACTTTTGTGGACTAAGGACCAGCCTTTGATCAGTAATCAATAATCCTTGAGCCTTAAATAAATAAATCAAACCAACAGCTTGCACTGACATTATTGTCCATATAGACACACATACTTATGTTGCTTGGTTTCGGCTTTGTGTCTAAACAGTAGTGTAGTTCCTGTACTTAGTCTGTAATGCACCCCATCCATTAGTGTTTGTGCTTTTAGTTCTTACAGGGCTGGACGGGGTCTTGAGTGGCCAAGAGGGGCTGCTGATGCTGTCACTGTCATCTCCGTGGTAGGAGGACAGGCTGGCTGGGCTCGGAGAGAGCGGGGAGCACCTGGTGTGGGTGGTTGGGATCCACAGTGGTGGGAGCTGCGGCTGCTATTATTGTTGCTGTAGCCATCGTGTAGCTTGACAGGAGAAGAAAGAGAGAGAGAGGAGGCCACAGAACTTTAATTTTCTTTGGACAAACACATTCATTCCATTCAGGTTATTTCACCCACCTCCTCTGATTCAGTATAACAGTGTGCACTACTCCTGTACATACACAAATGCACAATGGTGAGGTCATAGTTTTAAGTCTGCAACAGTAGGCACCTCAAATGGATCACTGTCTGTGTGCTTGGACGTATGATCGTGTATCCAATTACAAATTTGATGTACTTCCACTGCATCCAAAATATTTCACTTTCAAATTGTACTTTATTACAGTTTATAGGGGAATTATACATTTGACTCCATTACATTTATTTGACTACCATAGTTAATAATTCTTACTTTAATAAAACAAAATATTCTACAAAACTATAAAAGCAGCTCCTAAAATATGATGCTTTGTTACAAATAAAAAAAGTCTTGTATATTTAAATGTTAATACTTCAGAATTATTAGGAACAGAGCATGGACCGGGCTACATATTTCTGTCTGAATCTGACCCATGCCCGAGAGTGTGGCGTCTGGACTCGACCGCCTTCCAAACAGAGACACCTAAGCCAACCCTAATATACCGAGAATGAGTAACTAGTATTATATCTTATCTACCTGTACATACATAAATGCATGTGTTGCTATGTGAGAGAGGAATAATAATATTCAGCTGACATACCAGTATCAGACCAGAATGAGTTCTATTCAATGAGAGTGAGGACATTTTGGGAAAGTGAGGATGCTTTGGCCAGTCCTCATTTTCTGACGCATCTTCAACAGGCTGGTCGATTGATGGTTAAGACTTGGTTTCAGGGTTCAGGTTAGAATTAGGTTTAAGTTAATAGTGAGTGTCCTCACAAAAATAGCTGTCCAAATCTCTGTGTGTGTGAGAGAGAGAGAAAGAGATTGAGAAAGTAGGAACAACAGCTTGACAAGTGCTTCTGGTCTGTGTAGAGAATGCTCATGTCAGCAAAACCTTATCTTTCTCCTTCTGTCTCTCCCCATCTCTCTTTCTCTACCTCTTGCTCCTTTTCACTCTCCTCCTCTCACTCTCTCTCAGCAGACATATCATCTCTTCTGGGAGCACTGGGGGTCTTTCTGGCTGCTCTGACTGCCTTAAATAATTCAAAAGGCCCTACTACTGTAATCAGCAAAAGAAAAGACAGGGATTTGGAGGGAAAAGACATGTAGTGGATGTGATTTAGGCTTGTGTGTGTTTGTGTGTGTGTATGGGGGGTATAAAGCAAAAACAAGAGGAAGGGCTAGAAAAGAGCAAAAAGCACAGTTGTGCTGTTGCTGAGCTGGGCTAAGTCAAACTGCATGGCAAAATGAGAAGTCAGCATTGTGTATTGGGACGTGTTTGTGAGAGAGACAGGAGGAACGGAGAACGTAATGTTTAAAAGAAGGATATGTGTGTGTGTTTGTGAGCAACTGCAAATGCCAGTGCGTGGCGTCTTTATCTTTATGTGTATACACTGTTTTGTGGGGTTATGTATGAGCGTACGTGTGGGGCTATGTACATGTGTGTACTGCAGATGCTGAGCCCTCTCTTTCTCTCTGTGTGCCTCTCTCTCTCTCTTTTTGCAGCTTGGTTTGCCAAAACATCAGTGAGAAGAGAGTGCTGGGAGCAAAAACAAAGCAAGGAAAACATTAGGAACAGTAAATGTTAAACAAATCATTAAATATGGTGAGAAAACAACAGAGAAACAGCTTACTGTGATGAGGCAGCATATGCTGATCAGATTTGGTTTGCTTCATTAAGGGTGGAAGACACAAATAAAGGGGGGGTGGAATAGCAAAAAAAAAGATGGGAAGAGGAAACAGGTCAAGGGAGTACCTTTTGTTTGTGAGGCTCACTGGCGGGGCCTCTGCTGTCTTTGATGTCTGATTTCGCTTTCCCATCTGGGCTCATCATGTCGTCTCCTGACGTTCCCATTGCTGCTTCATCAAAAATGAGAAGATGTTTACAAAAAAATATTTGTACCATACTTTTCAATGACATAAAAAAAAACATGAAAATGCTAAAAGATTGTCTAAAGTCAACAAATGTTGAACCCAAAACAAACTTCTTCAATGTATGCTTTAAACACAGTAGCATCAAGAGGAATACTTGGCATGTTTCTGTATTATCATGTATGATTTGACGGAACAAACAGTGTCTTCTTTGTGTACTTCTGTTTAATAGCTTGTATAATGTCACAGACAAAGTCGCATCATATAAAACGGTTTATTATCTTTTCACAGTTGAAATATTGTGTTTTTTCCTTCTGAAACCCAGTCTGGCCATTCTCAAAGGGAAGACTGTGAAGGAAATGCGAGAAAGAGCGGTATAAAAAGGCCACTGCTTAAGGAAGACACAGACAGAAATGAGACTCCACTCAATGCGAGCCAGAGTGCTCTTTCAAACTTGATGGCTGTGCATCCTCAGTCTGGGAGAAAACATCCATCTTCTCACATATTCCAAGTGGTGACAGAATGGGAAGGTTAGTATTCAACAGCTCTTGTCTGACAAGAATAACTGTTTTCAAAGACATTTGTGTACCTTCATGCAATTTCTAATTGAAGAAGTATTAAAATTCTTAAGACTACTTGTTATAGTGCCAGATGTATATTTGTTATTAACAGAAAGAAGAGGTCTTTGGATACAAGGCCCTCCTCTTTATTTTTCCCTTGTATGCTGCAATGTAGTGGGAAAACTAATGGCTTTTTACAGTGCCCAGGGGCAAACCAGATGAGTTTTCAGAAGCCTTGGTGCTCTAATTTGTTTGAAGTTTTCCAAATGTCACGCATACTGATATTTGGTTTTGAATAAAAGGTGCCTTTCATTTTGGGAGACACAGTGCTCTCCGAAGTGCATTTAGCAACAATGCAGTGGGGTGAAGGGCTGAAAGGAAAAGGAATGCACCACATTAATCTTTACAGAAAAGGCAAGAGCACTGAGAAAACAAGTGGAGCTGGAGAGAACTCTCATGATTTGTTAGTCTTTCACTGTCTTTGGCCTCTTCTACTCCTCTCTCGCTTTCTGTCTCTGAATAGGAACAATTCTCTGTTGGCCCTGCTATACATTCAACATAAACGCATGGGTGGCTCAGTCAGTGGAGATGGGGCCATAACTTCTTTTTATATAACATTTATATATCTGTTTAGGAGTGAACTATAGGAGGCTGGCAGCATGTATCAGTGGGTGTGCCTCTGAAGTTAAACTGAAATCATTTACTCAACTTACCTCCTCTGTCAGATGTGTGTTTTCCAAAGTTTTGGGCAGTTTGTATATGCTGACATTTGTATTGCGGTGTGTCATCACCTGCTCACCCTGTGTGTCTTTCTAAAGAAATATAACCTTGCACAAGATAACCTCTGCTAGTTGGCATTAGGTGAATACCTGAAGGTGGCATATTGTAGGCTGGATCTTGTGAGTTGCTCATGGCAGAGTTTTTGTTGCCCTCTGGCTGGCTGTAGGGGACAGTGGAGGCCATAGTGCTTGCCTGGCTGATGCCAGAGCATTGATGACTGCCCTGCCTATGACAGTACAAGGAGAAAGAAGTAAGCGGAATTAGAAGAGATGGTTTATGTTTTGATTCATGACAGGCTGTGGAGAGAGTAACAGTGAAAGCTGCAGAAGAATAGAAGTCACAAAATTGTACAGAGATGGTATATGTCAGTCTGTCACTGCCATACTCCTTGAATGTTGTAGCAAAAGCTGAGCAGCGTGTGTATCTGAATTGACAAAAAAGTAAAGAATACAACATATCTCTGATCAAACAAGAAGCTCCTCTGAAAGACTGAAGATGAGCATGCAGCATCAGAAATGAAAAACTCTAACCTCTCCTCTCTTCTTCTCCATAACCCCCTCCCGCTCTTTCCCCTCTTCCTCCCTCTCCCACAAGTCATAATTTAACTAATTAAGGTGTGCTTTAGGAGAGGATCATGTTATTTGTTGTCATGGTGACAGCAGAAATCAATCCCCCTCAATCTACAGCCCTCAGGCCTCTCTCTCTCTCTCTCAGGTGGCTCATCACATGGTGTTACAAGTGACATCAGAGGGGCTTATCTGCAACCTGCTGAATGCTATCCTTCTGTGTGTGTGTACGTGTTTGAAGGCAGCATCTATCATTGCATGCCAGGAAGGCCGGAGCCATGTGACATGAGAGCTGAAAGGGAACACCATGTTTGGAACAATTTGGCCTATCTCCTGCTGCTGACTCAAGATTATCTCCTGGACAACCACATAAAAAAGACAGAAAGAAAGCTGGAGACAGATGGGGAGAAAAATAAGAGGTGAAGGGAGAGAGAGATCTAAAAGACTGAAAGAATAAGAGAGGAAAGGAGAAAGACTTAGAATGCAGGATGAGACAAAAAGGAGAGGAGATGGAGGAAAAGGCAGGCATCTGAGGAAGTCTGATGGTGTTAAGGGTGAATGCAAAGGCAGAACGTATGGAAAGACAGCAGGAAGGAAGGAGTATTTGGCTAAAATATTTTAGGTGGATGACAGAAAAACTCAAAACAAATGTATGTCCATTTCCTCTAAATTGGCATCATCATCTCTTTCACACACTCACACAGACACAGAGTGTAATGCCTCATATTGGAACAAATACACATAGCCTATGAGGAAGGATCATCTTGGGAAACCTCCCCATAATCTCATCTCACAGATGTAATTAGTCATAGAGCATGGCTGATGATACATATGTAATCCTTCTATGGGGCCCGAGGTGCACAGGGGAGCTCCATGGCACAGAAACAAGCGCACACCAAATCCATGCTTCTCTGGCCCCATTTCCCTGTAATGGGGCAAACGCAGACTTCTTCATTTGCTGCCTACGTGTTCCCTAAAAAGCTCTGTGAGAGTCAAGACAGAAATAAATTTACCTTTTGATCTTTGCACCTTCTCTCACAGGTAAGAATGTATTCCGCATGCAAACTCCCACAAAAGAAAACACTGATAAACCAGCAAGAAAAATAAGTTTAGAGATGCCAAACGCCTGCAAAACTCATTTGTCTATACTGTAAAAATGCCCCTCACCCACCTGAAGCAATAGAAGCTCTCATGTGAATAGTGAAATATCCAAATCAACAACAACAACAACAACAGTGGCTGGAGGTTTTCGACTGTGGCGCTCTCCCATTATGACTAATTCATGTCATAAAAAAGCCCATTAGAAAGCACTTGATGGAGGCACCGAACAGCGTTTAATCACACTTAATATATGCATGTGCTGCTATCGGGGAGAAAAAATGGCACAGCACATTCATCTTGCTCTCGGGCACCTTTGTGCCGAAAAAAAAAAAGCATCCTGTTGTCACAGAGAGAGAAAGAGAGAGTGAAGGACGAGAGGAAAAACAGGGGAAAGAGGAGAGATGGAA